GGCTCCTACTGTCCTATGGAGACTGGGAGACGTGACGTGCGATTTTCCGGTGATTACATTTCAGAGATATCCAAGGTCTTCAAGGAAAAGTTTCCTGGGTTGTAAAATTGGTATGAGGCTTAATTAGCTTTAAAAAGTATTTGTATATATCTCCAAGGGGCAGAGGAAGAATTCACAGTTACAGGTTTTCTAAAGCAAATACTCTAAGAAATGTGTTGGGTGGGTGGAGTGGCTGTCCCTTTTTCCTCAGGGATATTTTTTTCTTTTTCAGATTTGTATTTACCCTTACAAAACTCATTGCTGATCTGAACTGTAAGCTGACACCCAAAAGATTTATTTGCATTTTCTAAGCATATCGGGTGAAGGTCCTTTCAAATGGAGAGAAAAATCCTAGGAATATCCTAATTGTGGAGGTTTATGAAGACTTCAAAGAACTGAAGGGAGTTTAAGAATAGTGTGTGTGTGTGTGTGTGTGTGTGTGTATACGCACCTGTTTGAAAGAAAACACAGGAAGTCATGATCATTTCTTCCACCAGTTCATCACGGACTCACCAAACAACAGAAACTTTCCAGAGGAGGCAGGATGGGCCACTGAGTGTTTCTTCACGAGGGTGATGTGGTCAGCTTTCTTTTAAAAAATTCATTTGAAATCAATTTACTTTATTGCTCATTATATTAACCCACCATTAAACTTCTGATTCAAGTACTAAAGGTATATTTTGGAACTGTTTTATGAAATGAAAACAATTTTTAGAAAAATTTGACAGTCTTGGTACATAATGGCAACTTTCAAATGGCTGAATTTTTTTTCTTCTTTATTTCCATATTTAAATAATTGTGTGTCTTTTATCATGATGAACTTATGAACATAATACTGGGTTGTTGAAAAGTCATCTTATCTGTCACTAAATGTACAATGTGTGGGTAAATGTGGTTCTGTGACGTCTGCTTTGTGCAAAATTGATTTGAAAATTAGTTTTGTTTTACTTTTAATATTTAATCATGTAAATTACGGGTTAATGTCAGTAAATATGAAACGCATAATTGTCTAAATAGCATTTCAATGCAGTATATTTAGGTAACATGGACGTTGTGAATGATAAATCATGCTGACATAAGTTACATTTCTTATCTCTAATAAACTCAAGAGCAACATTATTTCCCATAGTGAGGGCTGTTTCTTTCAACATTAATCTATATTCCAATAGTAAATTGAGAATCTGCAAGTTTTCCTTGAAGATTTAATTTGATGGTTTAGTAGTTTTCACAGGCTACAAGATGTACTAACTGCCCCACGGCTTACCTAGATGGCCTCTGAATGGGATGCCATTACTTTGAAATGTTGAATCTTTTCATTGTTTTCACAGATACTGACTTTGAAATCGGGCCTAACTAGATCCTCAAAATTATCTGTTGTTCACTTATTGCATTTTTCTAAAGTGCACATATGTTGTGAGGATTTTTTTGTGCCTCTGACGGTGTCCCATGTCTGTTAGAATCCAAAACGTCACTCGAATTTATCTAAGTGTAAACCAAGTTCCACTTTGAGAATGGGTTTTTGAAACTCTCACAGCCTCTTTTCTTTTCTTCACGTGTGTTGAAGGTTCTGGCTTTGATAGAGTAACAGGGTCTGAGTCACACCCTGCATAGTGGAGAGCGGATTCTGTATGGAGCTGAGGGAGGAGGCAGGGAGCTCAGGAGGAGGCCGTTGCAGTAGTCCAGCTGAGTGTTGATGGATCAGAGTGGTAGCCGTGCAGGAGGCAGAAATATTTGGATTCTGCGTCCACGTTTTTAGAAGGGCCAAGTGGATTCTTGGATGTTTTCGGTGAGGGAGACAAAGGCAGGAGTCAGGGATGACCCAAGGGTTTTTGATCCTAGTAGCTGAAGAGACGGAAGCTCCATCAACTGAGATGAGAAGTGTTCACTGGGAATATGGGGAGTTTTGTTTCGGCCTCTTGAAGAGCCTGAGATATTTTAGAGAACTGTGAGTGAAGTCATGAAGTGGGCAGCTAGACACACAGGTCTGGAAATCTTGGGAGGGGTTCAGGATGGAGACATCCACAAGTGGTAATTATTGTATGGGCCAGGTTGGAGCTGTGGATCACATTTAGGAGAGGAATTTATGTCACAGTGGTAATGCTATTAGGACGTCCAGAAGAAGCGGGTGGTGGTAAGGACTGCTTCCCTTGCTCGGGCACATGGTTGAGGGTTGGGGGCACAAGCACAGATGAGGGAGATTAGTGGTCATGAAGAGGGTAGGTGGGTGGGGAGGATGGTCTGGCAGGTGACCAATGCTCCCACAGGATGAGTGGACATGAGATGGATGCAGAGTCGTAGGAGCAATTGAGACAAGATGACACTGAGTCTGGGTTGCTTATTCACTTCTGTATGGAATCAACAGAACTGTGTAGTGAGCTTTGTTGGGGTCTGAGGTGTTTCAGTCTTGCTGGTGGATAAGGTCAGGCACAAGGGTCATTATCTGTGAGAGTCACTACGCCTGTCATGGGGACCAGTGGGGCTGGGATTTAAATGAAGTTTTGGTAGAAAGTGGCAGGTTGTGGCTGCTGAGGGGACAGCAAGTTAGCACAGAAGTGGCAGAGGGTCATGGGGTCTCAAACTCACATGTGGTACTGAGTGGCACATATTGAAGAAGGGATCAGGGCCAGGTGGAGAGGCCTCCAAAGCAGCGTTCAGGGCTTTCCCTGGCATTGGGATCCATGAGAGGTCTGGGGTTGTGCTGGATCGTGTGTGAATTTGTCAAGCACTCTCTGGATGCCATGTGCCAGGTCCATGGGTGGGTCCAGGAAGATGCCTATGGGGTGGTGCGGGGAGGTGGTGGTGGCTGTTGGAGGGTGACTCTGGTGTCTGGACATGTGAGAGAGATGGTCTACAGAATGATGTGCACATCGAGAGGAAGTGTGAGCTGATGGCCTCAGGGCCTTCCTCTTGGGGACTGAGGTGGAACTGAGAAGTCAGGTTGCCTTGTGTCTGGGAGTCATGATCTTGGGGGCCCCAGGGTTATTGCCTGGCGGGAGGGGTTGGGGCCTGCAGTCCAGGCCCACTGCTTAGACAGCGTCTATCTGCCCTCCTGCCTCTTGTTGCTGAGGGCTGAGCAGGGTGTTCATGGGACCACTAGGAGAGCGTGGGCATCAGTGGCACCAAGGACTGGCATCTCTTCTGAGATGCTGAGCTCTGGAGAAAGGTGAGTATGGACGTGGGTCCTCAGAGATGCTGATCCTCATCTCATCTGTCCCGATCATGTCAGGGTGCTGTGACATGTGAGGACATGCTTGTGTATTTCTGGGAGGAGTGGGGTACCTTGATGAGGGTCAAAGACGCTTGTACCACGAGGTGATTCTGAAGAACTTGTCACCCATATCCTAGTATCCTCATGGGGCAAGGAATGTGCAATTACTTTCTTCAATATAACAAAAGTGGAGCAAAGCCTCTGGACTAGTCATCAGACTTATTTGACTCTCACACATCCCAACATCCACGGGAGAGTCCCCGTAAGTCTAATTTATGTGAGAAGCATGCGTGGCTGTGTTTCAGTTTCTGCCCTGCCCAAGGCCCTTCCCAGATTTCCCTCATTACCAGTCTCCGTTGTTAAAGCCATTTCACCCCTGCCACCTGGCAGGTCCACACAGCGTGCACCAGTCGCCACCGCAGTGTGCTCAGGGAAGCCGACCTCTGTTCTCTCAGGTGGGAGAACAAATTAGGAGTAGCCTGAGCCTTAGGGGGTCCGCATTCCCTTCCCTCTGAGTAGTTGGGGCATGGACCTCCCCCAGTTCTGACCTAGAGGATACCTAACGAATTCTATTGTCACCTTGCCAGAAGGACTACCTTTTCAGGGACATGTTAGGTTCACATGATACTTGTGATGAGTTTTTCCAGCTCCCAAGTCACCAACCCGAGAACTGCCTGCCACACTTTGATTTGGGTTGTACGATAAGAAAGGCCTTACTCTTTCAGTCCTCTTTTTCTTGGGGGTTCTGTTCAGTATATGGGGTGGTTTATCAACAGATTTGGGCTCTGAAAGCATGACGACTTTTGTGGAGTCCCCAAGTTTGTGTGCCTCTGAGGGAACAGTATTCGGGCAGAAAATGGCACATCAGATTTGGGCCAACTTGCACTGCTGCCAATGGCCTCTTGGGAAACATTTGTCATCCTAATTCACGGCCTGAATGCCTGGCTGATCAGTTGCAGAAAGCAGTCCCCAGAAGTCCGCATACGGCCCCTTTAAGAAGAGGGGAGCCCTGGAAAGAGAAGGGGCCTTGCCCAATGCTGCTCACAGGGGAGTCGCTTGGGGAACCCTCTCTGCCTTGGATTGTTGGAACTACATTTCCCTGAATGCTCTACGACGACAGACGGCTCCCAGAGCCAATGAAGGCTCAGGACAAAAGGCGTTTCCGTTTGGGCAGAAGGGTGGAGAGGGGACTTCCGGGGTTCTCTTCAGGGGCTGTACCTGCGGCAGCTGGTTGTTCTTCCAGCCTCGGAGTCCCGGGCCGGGACTGGGGAAACGCGCGTAGAGGCGCGGGAGGAGGCGCTGTCCGCGCGGTGCTGGCGGCTCTGAGGCTCGGCGACGCCGCCCGGGGCCTCGCGCCCGGCGCCTCGTCTCCCGTCGCTCCTGGCCCCGCTCCGCCCCCGAGGCCGATGGCGGCGGCCGCGCGGAGGGAGCCGGCTCAGGTGAGCGCTCGGCTCCGGGCCGCCCCGCCCGCAGCGCAGCCCGAGCTCCAGCCCTCGGGCGGGCGCTGCTCCCGGGCCTGCAGCCCAAACCCCGGGGCCGGGCCGGGGAGGCGCTCGTGGGGCCTGTGGCTGCGGGCGGGGGCCGGGCGGAGGGTGAGGGGGCCGGGCGGAGGGTGCGGCGGGGCCCCGGGTCGGCGTTGTGTCCGCAGGGAACAGTGTGAGGAGGGGTCCCCCCTGGACCGGCAGGGGAGGGGCTGCTCCTTCAGTCCGAGGGTCCCGGAGCCGGGAGGGCTGTGACCAGAGAGGGACGCGGTGCGTGTTGGGGTTTAAAAAGTTCTCCAGGCGCTGCTCGGAGAGAACGGACGGGAAGGGGTGAGGAGGCCGGGGAGGCGCAGGGAGCGGAGTCCTGGTCCGAGGGCGCAGAGCTGGTGCTCCTGAGGGCCTGATGTTGAGAAGGATCAAAGGTATAGAGGAGGCCTTCAGAGCAGCACTTGGGGATTTCCTTAAATGCAGAGCTGGGAGTGCAACTGTGGGCACTGAAGACGTGAGAGGTACAATCTACGGAATGACATGCACGTTGACAGGAAGCGTGAGCCGATGGCCCTCGGGCCCTGGTATTGGAGACTGAAGGGTGAAGCACGAGCCCACGTTTGGCTGCGTCTTGGAGTCCAAGTCTAGAGTCTCCAGGGGAATTGACTGACAGGGTGGATGAGACCCTACATGCCAGGACCAGAGCTTGGATGAGGTCTCTGTGCCCCCCTGCCTGATGTTTCTGAGGGCTGAACACAGTGAATAAAGGGACCCTGAAGATAGTGACACCTGGCCTGGAATTCCTCTGAGGTGGGGCGCTCTGGGGGAGGATGAGTGTGTGGTGAGATGGATTGTGGGATCTCAGAGAGAGTGTTGATGGTTTTATCTGTCCCCGTCATTACAGGACAGTGTGACCTTTCACGATGTTGCTGTGTACTTCTCCTGGGGGGAATGGAGGCTCCTGGATGAGGCTCAGAGACGCCTGTACCTGGATGTGATGCTGGAGAACTTTGCGCTCGTATCCTCTCTGGGTAAGACTCTCACGGCCTCGCCAGTGAGCTGGACTAGGCTGTATTCCCTCCCCACAGCCCTTCTCAGTCGTTTTTCTCATGGACCGTGGACACCACTTGCTCCCCCAGCTTTCTGGGTGGTGCCGTGTTGCTAGGGCTGGGTGTGTGTACCGCCGTGTTCTCTCCCCTGCAGCCCCAGTACCTGCTGTACGGAGCCCTCTTAGGAAAGGCATCCAGGCTGGGGGTATTGCCTTGAGCTTCACGGATTCCACCGAGCGGCCCTCTCTGGGTCATTGTGTCCAGATCCATATCACTTCTGTATCCCAGGCTTTGTCCTTCTTTTCCGTTTCATTTCCTCATGGCTGCTTGTGCCAGGCATGTAGGCATTGTCACAGTCACTACTTACCTGAAACATGGGATGCTTTTCAGTGTCCTCTTGCATGGTTTGTAGTGTTTAGATCTGGTCTGTAGTGGTTAGATTTTTTTTTTTCAGTCTTGTCGAGATATAAAATTATGTACATTCATCCCTTGGTGTTCACAGGGTGTTGGTTCCAGAACCTCCCCCGTGGATACTAAAATCCAGGAACTCTCAAGTGCATTATATAAAATGGCATACTCTTTGCATATAACCTACGTACATCTTTCTGTATACTTTAAATCATCTCTAGATTAGTCATAATACCTAATACAATGTAAATGCAATGTAAGTAGTTGACTACACTTGTCTTCATTCACATGTATTCACTATCGTTCTCAGTGCCTGGCAAATTTAAGGTTTGCTTTTTGAAACTTTTCTGGAATTTTCTTTTTTCAAATATTTTTCATCCATGGTTCATTGAATCCACGGATGTGGAACCCATGGATATGGACGTCAACTGTACAGTAAAATGTATAACGTGATGATTTGATATATATATATGCATTGTGAAATAATTGCCACAATGAAGTTAACTAAACATCAATCACCTCGTAAAGTTACCTTGTTATTATTTTGTTGTTGTTATGAATGCTTTACATCTATTCTCGGTACATTTCAGGTGTACAGTAGAGTATGAACTACAGTCACCATGCTGTATGTTACATTCTCAAAACTTACTCATAACTGCACGTTTGTACCTTTTGACGAACGTCACCCTGTTTCCCCCATGCCCCAGCTCCTGGCATTCTACTGTTTCTATGATTTTCATTTATTTATTTTTTACATGCCAACCGCAGTGAACCAGAGTTCCCTTACATCTGCACCCTCCCCCAGACTTGTTATCTCTGCTCTTTCTGATGGTAGTCATTTTATCAGGTGTGAGGTGATATCTCTCTGTGCTTTTGATTTGTATTTTCCTGATGGTTAGTGAAGAGGAGCATTTTTTCGTATACCTGTTGGCCGTTTGTAGATCTTCTTTCATAGAACGTCTGTTCATGTCCTTTGCCCATTTTTAACTGGATCGTTCTGTTGCTGAGTTGTGTGAGTACTTTATATATTTTAGATATTGATCCTTTATGAGATGCAACATTTGTGAATATTTTCTCCCTTTTCATTTTGTTGATTGCTTCTTTTGCTATGCAGAAGGTTTTTCATTTGATGTAGCCCGACTTATTTATTTTTGCATTTGTTGCCAGTGCTTTTGGTATCACATCCAAAAAAATCGTTGCCAAAATCAATATCAAGGAGCTTTTTCTGTTTTTTTCCAGAGTTTTATTTTTAAGTCTTTAATCCAGTTCTAGTTAATTTTTTTGAGTCGTGTAAGATAGAGTCCCAGTTTCATTTTTTTCCTGTGCATATCCTGTTTTCCCAGCACCGTTTATTGAAGAGACAGTCCTTTCCCCATTGTGTATTCTTGGCACCCTTGTTAAGAATGCTTGGGGGCCGACCCCGTGGCAGAGAGGTTAGGTTCTTGTGCTCCACTGCTGCGGCCCAGGGTTTCACCGGTTCGGATCCCTCTCATCAGGCACCCTCTCGGCACCACTCATCAGGCCACATTGAGGCGGCGTCCCACATGCCACAACTAGAAGGACCCACAACTAAAATATACAACTCTGTACCTGGGGGGATTTGGGGAGAAAAAGCAAAAAGAAGAAAAAAAAGAAAGAAGAAGATTGGCAACAGTTTTTAGCTCAGGTGCCAATCTTTAAAAAAAGAATGCTTAACATCTGCTCTCAGTAAAGTAAAAATGCCTTATTAAGACGGATAAATGCGGGTTGATTTCTGAGTTACATTTCATAGGTCTGTGTGTCTGTTTTTTCAGTGCCATACTGTTTTGATTACTGTTGTTGTTTTATAATACGGTTTGAAATCATGAAGTGTGATGCCTCTAACTTTGATCTTCTTCATGAAGATTACTTTGGCTATTTGAGGTCATTTGTTGTTTAACTTTTAGGATTCTTTTTATATTTTAGGTAAAAAATACCATTAGAATTTTGGTAGAGATTGCATTGAATCTATAGGTTGTTTGGGTAATAGAGGTATTTTATCAATGGTAGTTCTTCCAATCCAGAATGTGCAATGTCTTTCCATTTATTTATGTCTTCAGTTTCTTTCATTGGTATCTTATAGTTTTCAGTGTAGACATCTTTTCTCTGCTTGGTTAAATTCATTCCTAGGTACTTTATTGTTTTTAATGCTGTTGTAAATGGGATTTGTTAATTTCCTTTTTTTTTGCTGAGGAAGATTCACCCTGAGCTAACATCTGTGCCAATCTTCCTGCATTTTGTATGTGGGTCACCACCATAGCATGGCCGCCAATGAGTGGTGTAGGTCCATGCCCAGAAACCAAACCTGGGCCGCTGAAGCAGTGTGCCAAACTTAACCACTAGGCCATGAGGCCAGTCCCTGATTTCTTAATTTCTTAGTGAAGTATTTTATTGTTCGTGTGTAGACACTACTGATTTTTGTGTATTGACTTTATGTTCTGCAAATTTTCTAGTTCATTTATTCGTTCTGACAGTTTTTTTTATTGAGGTCTTCATAGTTTATAACATTGTGAAATTTCAGTTGTACATTATTATTTGTCAGTCACCATATATATGTGCCCCTTTGTCCCTTATACTAAACCCAAACCCCCTTCCCCTCTGATAAACACTAATCTGTTCTCTGTCCATGTATTTGTTTATCTTGCACATGTGAGTGAAGTCATATGATGTTTGTCTTTCTCTGTCTGGCTTATTTCTCTTAACATAATACCCTCAAGTTCCATCCATGTTGTTGCAAATGGGACAATTTTGTCCTTTTTTGTGGCTGAATAGTATTGCATTACTGTATGTATATACCTGTATATATATACACCACATCTTTTTTTAATCCATTGATTAGTCAGTGGGCACTTTGGTTGCCTCAACGTCTTGGCTATTGTGAATAATGCTGCAATGAACATAGGGGTGCATAAGTCTCTTTGAATTGTTTACTTCAAGTTCTTTGGATAAATACCCAGTAGTAGGATAGCTGGATCCTATGGTAATCCTATTTTTAATATTTTGAGAAATCTTTGTGCTATTTTCCATAGTGGCTGCACCAGTTTGCATTCCTATCAGCAGTGTTTGAGGGTTCCCTTTTCTCCACATCCTCTCCAGCATTTGTTGTTTTTTGTCTTGGTGATTATAGCCATTCTAACAATTGTAAGGTGATATCTCATTGTAGTTTTGATTTGCATATCCCTGATGATTATGATGTTGAACATTTTTTCATGTGTCAGTTGGCTATCTGTATATCTTCTTTGGAAAATTGTCTTTTCCTAGCCTCTGCCCATTTTTGGATCGGGTTGTTTGTTTTTTCTTGTTGAGTTGTATGAGTTCTTTATATATTTTGGAGATTAACCCCTTGTCAGATATATGATTTATAAATATTTTTTCCCAGTTGGGGTTGTCTTTTGTTTTGTTCCTGGTTTCCTTTCCCTTGCAGAAGCTCTTTAGTCTGAAGAAGTCCCATTTGTTTATTTTCCTTTTGTTTCCCTTGCCTGAGTGGACATGGTATTCGAAAAGATCCTTCTAAGACTGATGTCAGAGAGTGTACTGCCTATATTTTCTTCAAGGAGTTTTATGGTTTCATGTCTTACTTTCAAGTCTTTAATCCATTTTGAGTTAATTTTTGTGTATGGCGTAAGATAATCGTCTACTTTCGTTTTTTTTTTTTCAAACAACAGAAATTTATTTTCTCATAGTTCTGCAAGCTAGAAGTCCAAGATCAAGGTGTCAGCAAGTTTGGTTTCTTCTCAGGCCTCTCTCCTTGGCTTGTAGATGGCCATCTTCTCCCTGTGTCCTCACATGGTCCTCCCTCTGTGTGTCTGCGTCCTAATCTCCTCTTCTTGTTGGGACACCAGTTATGTAGGATTAGGGCCCACCCGAATGACCTCATTTTATCTTTTTTTTTTTTTGTTTTTTGAGTTAATGATAGGTTACAATCTTGTGAAATTTCAGTTGTACATTAATGTTTGTCAGTCATGTTGTAGGTGCACCACTTCACCCTTTGTGCCCACTCCCCACCCCACCTTTCCCCTGGTATCCATTAAACTGTTCTTAGTCCATAATTTTAAATTCCTCACATGAGTGCAGTCATACACAGATTATCCTTCTCTCGCTGGCTTATTTCACTTAACATAATTCCCTCAAGGTCCATCCATGTTATTGCAAATGGAATGATTTTGTTCTGTTTTGCAGCTGAGTAGTATTCCATTGTATATATGTACCACATCTTCTTTATCCATTCGTCTGTTGCTGGGCACTTAGGTGGCTTCCATGTCTTGGCTATTGTAAATAATGCTGCAATGAACATTGGAGTGCATAGGACTTTTGGGATTGCTGACTTCAAGCTCTTTGGATAAATACCCAGTAGTGGGATGGCTGGATCATATGGTAGTTCTATTTTTAATTTTTTGAGGAATCTCCATACTGTTTTCTATAGTGGCTGCACCAGTTTGCATTCCCACCAGCAGTGTATGAGGGTTCCTTTTTCTCCGCAACCTCTCCAACATTTGTTGCTATTAGTTTTAGATATTTTTGTCATTCTAACGGGTGTAAGGTGATATCTTAGTGTA